CGATGTAAGACAGGGTTGATAATATCACGATGTTGTGCTCCTGGTGCTGACACATTGATGGATAGTGGTTATCAAGCCTTATTCAAGCAATTGCTTCCAATCATGTATAATCATCTGAAGAACAGTGTTAGATGATGTAGTTTTACAGGGATTTTTTTTGCTGACAATTTCACTGTAATTGAATGCAGTCCGAGAGCTTCATTTAAAGCCATCAGCCTACTTTTGGAGTGCGTGAAAATCCTTTTTTTAAAGTCAACATCAAAATTGACCCTATTAAGTTTCTGGTCATGTTGTGAATGACAAATCGGTGCACAGTATTTTATCATTCACATCCACTTTCACTGTCCAATCAATTTCAGAAGTATAAAATCAAGATACGCCCTACACTTTAAATGTCCTGTTTCACTTGTCAAACAAAAGCATGTATTAAAATTAACTCTTTGATTTGTTAGTTATTGCAATGAACTTTAATGGCCATTTTAAATCAATCAAAATATTGCTCTTGCATGAAGCCTTTCCCAAAATATGAAATATTTGCACCTGCACTTGCGGTCTGTATGGTTCACTAAGGTTACGTGAACCTGCTGTCTATTATGTGTTTCTCTTTTTTGTCTAACAAGCTTCAGATGCTTCAAGTTCCAGTGAAGCAGAAAATCTGATTAGTCTGACTTCATTCTGTCTCATTCAGTGTTTAGCTGTGTTACACGTCTGTCAATTGTGTTGTTTATGTTTATTGTTGTTTTGCACTTGATTGCCCAGATTGTCATGTAACTCGGTCGGCCAACGAAGAGATATTAATATTCATTGTTGGTTGCACAGTTGAAGTAGTTCTGAATAGTCACATGAAAAGAACTGACTAATTTGGGGAGCCTGGGGTGCAAAGTGCCGTTATTTACTGAGCCATTACTACTCATTGTCAGAGAAAAATAAATTGGTCTTAGGGGTTGAAAGGGAATAGATGGAAAGATTCTCTGATGTTAAAGGGATAGTCCATACAAAAATTCTGTCACCTTTACACTCCACGGTACAAAAGCCACTAGGGTGGTATCCTTTCAAAAGGTGCTAAATTGCAATGTTTACGTGCTAAGATGTTACCATTTAGGTGCTAATATGTACCTACAAGGTAGTAATACGCATCCTTTACAAGGTACAAAGATATACAATTTGAAAAGGTTCCACCCCATGACAGTTTTTGGGCCTTTTTTTCTGAGAGGGTATGTTGTTCCAAAAAAGCTTGAATTTTCTTTCTTAAGTGGAACACAAAAGGAAAGATTAATAGAAAGGACAAAAAGCACCATACAAGTCATAAATTGGTTTATATGACTCATATTCCAAGTCTTCTGAAACCATACTATAGCTTTGTGTGAGTAAAAGTGCATCACATTTTTAGGTAAACTATCCCTTTAAATCGCTAACATTGTTCAGTTTTTGTTCTTTAGAATGAGTCGAACGACTGCATTATAGGCAATCAAATCAAAAAGCCTCAAGCGAAGCAGTTGGAGGCTAACTTAAAACTATTAAAAAGAAAAAAAAAGTCACTTGTCACTGTCATTCTCTTCTTCTTTCAGTCTTCCAGGTAAGGTGTATTTGTACAAGTGGACATGGGAGAGGCAGAGGATTGATTTGATCTTACAAGCCATCAGGTTGAGAGGAACTTTCCTAAACATGACCTGAAGTGTGCCGGCCCCGCAGCAAACGCTGCTGTCACTATAGTGAATGGGAGCTGTCACGCAGCAGTCGGGCCGATGTGAGCTGACAGCCTGAACGCTCACAAAACAAATCATGGCCCCATTTGGTAACACTCCACGTCCCTGCGATTTAGCCCAACCAGGACGGCTTCTGTGCTGCTCATAGAGGATGCTAGTGGGGAAGTCTAGACTATTGGGGATATCTTTGTGTGTGTATGTGTGAATATGTAGGTGCATGTGCCGCAAGAAGTTGCGTCTCTGAGTGTCGGTGAAATCATGGTTAGTGAGAGATGTTAGTTCATCTACTCATGAATTGGTCTATGGGAGAACCTTACAAAGACTAGATAATTTTTATGCTAAATTTAAGCATTTTTTATGACCATTAAAGAAATAGTTCAAAAATTAATATTTGCTGAACATTTACTCCAGGCCCTCCAAGATGTATATGAGTTTGTTTCTTCATCAGAACAGATTTGGAGAAATTTAACATTTCTTGCTTCATTTGAACATCACTTGCTCACCAATGGATCCTCTGCAGTGAATGGGTGCCGTCAGAATGAGAGTCCAAACGGCTGATAAAAACATCACAATAATCCACACCACTCCAGTCCATCATTTAACATCTTTTGAAGCGAAAAGTTGCATGTTTGTAAGAAACAAATTCATCATTAAGGAGTTCTATTTGGACTCTCATTTTGACGGCACCCAGTCACTTACATCGATATGCCAGTAGGTCGCAACAAGTCTTTATGAGTAAGTCACTGAATTATTTACTCAACCAAATCAATCAAAACCACTGATTTATTCAGGAACAAAACAAGTGGCTGCCTTCATGTACAGTATGAGTCACTGAATCATTCACTCAGCTGATTGTAAAGCAAAAACAAAGTAACATATAATATAGTGTCTAAAATGTAAGTTGCTCAATATTACATTTTCCTGTATTGAAGTGTTGTATAAATGCAATATTGTTACTTGCTCAAACAGTCGTTGCTAGTTTGAATATGTGATTTTTTAAATTGGTAACAGTGACTTAGACACATTGCAGGCTACTCTTGCTTGTGTTGCTTTAATAACAAATATTTATAACTAAATAACTATGAGAATAATTGTAAAATAATAATTAAAAAAAAAAAAAATTTCCTCTTCCAATTTTTTCCCAACCCTTTTAACCCCTTAAAGGCCCAGGAATCTGCAGATTTATTTTATTTTTTTTCAAATTTTTTGCAATACTTTGTGGGGAAATCTGTCAAATTGTGTGAAATAGATTTGGTTAAATAGTACAAAATTGTTAAATCTTGGGCCTCGCAATCAGGAACTAGATGCTTCATTTTAAGGTTTTCATTTTTGTGTGCAAAACAACTTTAAATTGTTTAAGTAGTGTGACTATTGACAATCCCTGAAATTGCTGGTAACCTCTTATGCATTTCGAAGAGTCTTAAGATTGATGTTAAATCAAGTGAAGAATTGCATTTTCATGGAGCGCAGCATCAAAATCTAGAAATTCTCACTCATCACGGAAAACCTAACTTCATAAAAGACGCCTACCAGCACAAACCCTGACAGAAGAAATTGACCATAGCTTTGAGTTGTTATTACTGAGGTCTTCTATCTCCATAAAAAGTAATTTAAGCACTAAATGTCACTAAAATGCCATTCTGAAGCAGGTGACATGCATTGGCCAGCTCTGATGGCTTGAGGCTGATTGTCTGCTGGGCTACAGCCATCACCTTTATTCGCTAAAAATGAATTATCTGTTTGGCAGCTCCATTTTCCACTTTATTATTCAACTAACTCACAAAATGCTAATTAAATGAAACAATTTAGTAACAAAAAAGAGAAAAGTGAAAAGAGGAGAGACGATGATTGTGTTAAAGTGCTTTACACACTCACTGGGTGATTTTATTTGGCAGCTAATAAAATGAACAGAAAAACATCGTGATTAAAGGGTTGAACAGTGAACACCTGAGCATCTCTGCTATAATCATTAAGATAGAGAGATGGGGGAGGAGAGCTAGACGAGGCAATGTATTGTGCTTGAATGTGCACAGAGGAAAGAGAGAGAAACTATAAACACAAGACACACTCAGCTGGGAAGAGGGGGGGAGCATGGGGTAAATCTCACAAAAACTGTCAAATATTGACTGGGTTGCATTTCACCCCAAAATATAAAAACTAAATAAAAAGAAGCCAATTTTAGGACTGTAATTGCATCATGACATTATTTTCATGACAGTTAAGCACATTAACTCACAATTCTCAGTAGCCTTCAGTAATGCAAATAAAGGAATCCCATTCTCATTATTGCAATGCAATAAAAACCAAATTAAAATTGTAAAGTATATTTGTGTGTATACATGGTAGTATTTGTTGCTTTAAGATGATTTTAACCATTGTGTCCAGACAGGATGATTTACATTTACTGTATTAATCTGAGCCTCCTGTTCAGTCGTTGGCTGTGTTTGGATTGACATAATAACATCATTGTTATATTTCTACAGTATGTAGTTTGTAAACTGTGCATAGTATGTGAATTGCCTATATTTATAGAATACCAGGATTGCAAAAATGTGAAGCAAACAACAGAGCACACTTCGCACAATACTGTATCCCACAATGTGATGCATTTAATTTGACAGTTATTTATCATCTCTTTTTTATTGTCTTGTTATTTGATTAGATAAGCAAAAAATAAGGGAACATTCTAGGATCTATCAACACAAGCTCAATCAAAACAGAATTTGCTGTATAATGTTGATTACAGCAGAAAATAATTTAGACATGGCCCAAATTTAAATAACTGTACACCTCAAACATTATTGTTTTTTTAATTAAATGTAATTGCCTTAACAAAAATAAGACCTTCATATTTTGTCCCTTAAACCCTCCAGAGACTGGAACTTCAATTGCGAGTTACTGTACGTATTTTTGCTTTAAGTCGAAATGATTTTTTCTGGTAATCAACATTATGCTGAAAATAATGTTCTGTTAAGCTTAACTTTTGCAGCACGTTTTAAATTGCAAAATGCAATATAACAGTTTTTATTGATAACAATAACTGGATGGCACTCACATGGAACTTAATGTGGTCATACTTAATGTATGACAACAATGTGGCATACTACTTTTTAAAATGTTTGTTGTTAAATAATGCCAACTGTTTCACAGTAGTCTACTATTAGTGTGAGCTACAGTAGTATTTCATTCCAGACATTGCTATTCTCTCTTTATGCAGAAACTTGTGGTCTGTTTCTTGCATCTACTGCAACTGTACTAACTAGGGTTTGTGTATTGTACGTTGTCCTCCTCCAGACTCTGTTCAGGAGAAGCAGCCACCCGTTAGTCCAATGAATAACCGGAAGGAAGACATGGAGATCACGTCGCACTACCGGCAGCTCCTGCGGGAGCTGAATGAGCAGCGGCAGCACGGCATCCTGTGCGACGTGTGTGTGGTCGTGGAGGGCAAGATCTTCAAAGCGCACAAGAACGTGTTGCTGGGCAGCAGCCGCTACTTCAAGACGCTTTACTGCCAGGTGAAGAAGGGCTCAGAGCAGCAGGCCACCATCACGCACCTGGATATCGTCACAGCTCAAGGCTTCAAGACCATCCTTGACTTCATGTACTCCGCCCACTTGGCGCTCACAAGCAAGAATGTGATTGAAGTGATGTCGGCTGCCAGCTACCTGCAGATGACCGACATAGTGCAAGCATGTCACGGCTTCATCAAGGCAGCGCTAGACATCAGCATTCGCTCCGAGCTTGCAGATGAACTTGCGGATATTGAGATGGGCAATGTGGTGAGCTCTATGGGAGGCGGGGCTGGGCCCGGTGTGGGCGGAGCCTCGGAAGCACTGGCGTCCATGATCTCGGCCCGCAGTTCCTCGCCGTGGATGGCCAGACGCACCAGCCCGGCAAACTCATCTGGAGACTCAGCCATCGCTAGCTGCCACGAAGGCGGTAGCAACTACGGCAAAGAAGACCAGGAACCCAAAAGCCATGAGAGCCAGGAGGATGCTTGTTTGCAGCCCTTGTGGCCTGCTGATTACCGTTCTGTCCAGGTCAAAGAGGAGCAGGTCTCCCCCTCCAATTTACAAGATGGGGCTGGCCGAGGAGCACAAGGCACGCCTGGGGAGCAAGGTGGACGAGGAGAGGGGGGCTGGCAACCCCCTGGCACGGGCCGCAGGAAGAACCGCAAAAACAAGGACACGGTCAGGCACATAACCCAACAGAATGAAGGGGACAGTCGGACAGCGTCACCGCTGCCATCCATGCTGTCCAATCCAGGCTGGAGCTACGGCAACCAGGACATTCCAGGTAGGATTACTGTGTACTGGTTGCTTTATTGCTTCCTTTATTACTGTCATGATATCACATTGTGAAAACATCATCGAGCCGATTGTTGACCTTTCATCAAAGGATGTTTGGTCTTGCAGAAGAGACTGAATATGCCTACTATATAGTACAGGAATGGGCAACTCCGGTTATGGAGGGACACTTTCCTACAGAGTTTAGCTCCATCCCTAATCAAGAACACTTAATTTTCTAGTAATCCTGAAGACTTTGGTTAGATATTTCAGCTATGTTCAATTTGGGATGGAGCTAAACTCTGCAGGACAGTGCCCCCACCAGGACCGGAGTTGCCCATCCTAGAAATAGTAGGTGCAAACTGCATGAAATAAGTAGTATTTCTATATCCTGGTATTCATGAAACAGTACACATCCAATGGACACTTTCCTATCCCACAAGGCTTCAGGAGAGGAGTTGTAAATGGCAGTGAAGCGATACAGCTGACATTGTAGGTGTTGGATGTAAGAGTGTCCGGATTACATTAAAAAATAATACTCAAGTAAAGTGCAGATACTCAAAAAGTGTACTTAAGTACAATACTCAAGTAAATGTACTTAGTTACTGTCCTCCTCTGTTCGTACTACACTCATTCATACTATGTGGACCATACTTTTTAACAGTCACAAAGTTTGTTTCTCATCGTTGCGAGCACTGCCTCGTGGATCCCGTGAGAGTCAGGTCTTCTGTAATACTTTGCCACCGTGTTTGATTGTATAATTCGAACCCAGATAGAAATAGAACTCTGATGAAGTTGAAAATTATTGTTGTAGCACTAATAGTATAGCAGCATGACAAACTACAGATTGAGGTGGGGAATTTGGGGTTGAAAAAACTAATTTCCTCATTAACATCGGAAAGACACATGGGACGCGAGGCAACCTCATCAACCTAAAAACAAAATCCGTGCTGAGGAACAGATCACGCCAGCAAGCGGGGATGAGGCCCTACCTGTCTCGGATACTGTTGCTTATAGGTATGTAGATCATTAAAAGTGTGGCAGCTCTAATCTCTGGTGTATTTGTGCAGGCCGACTGTGAAATGGGCACACACACACTTTAAGAAAACAGGATAATTGAATTGACCTTGGTGGCGGTATGAGGATTAAATTGTATGTGTGTGTGCGAGTGTGTTGGGACGGGGGGTGCCCCAAGGTCTTCTGAAGTGTGGAGAAGAAGGGATAAAGTGAAGGAGAGAGGGAGGGGAATTCGTGGAGATCTGCATCAGCTTAGCGTGAGTTTACCTACTTAACTCTCGAGGCACTCTCTCATCCTCTCTGTTTGCCAGCCCTGCTAACTGCGGCTCCAACAGAAATAACTGCACTCGCTGACCCAACCCCACAGATCAAACATCAAGTGCAAGACTCCACACATCTAAGTACACACTGGCTCACTGTACTGCATACACACGCATGCTCACAAAAGTCACACCCGTACCTTTGTGTGCGACACAAATAGTACACATTTATATTCCTCACGCACTGGCCCCTATAAGCCAAACTAATATGCTAGTCAAGCTTTTGAGGTCAATTTAATTACGTTCTAAATGGAATTGAAACATTTTCAAATCTAAAATCATCCCTCTTAACCGTGTGTAAATCTCAGTCCGCTAAGGAACCGAGGACTTGCAAAACGGCAAATTGCTTTGGATGTCATTTGATAAAATGGGCCGATCCTCAGTGAAGATGAGAATATTGCTTGGTACACAAAACAGGCTCAGGCTTGGACGAGTCAGATCAGGGTGAGAGAAAGATGGCATGTTCTGAAAGCCCTCATGCCCTGCTTTGGGTTTTGGACTCAGCTGTAATTTTCCTACTGAATTGGTGGATTCTTGAGGAGTTGAGGCAGACATGTGTGTCCAAAGCCTAAGCGAGCAGCTACTGTGGCCAGGATGGTTTGCTTTGTTTAAATAAACAAGGATTCTTTTTTTGTGGGTGTGTATTTTATCACCCACCTGTTATATGTGACATGAACATGTTTAAATCTCATTTAAACAACATGACAGCTTTAGTAATTAGAGGGACTCTATAAATGCCTTCATAAGTGATTTCTGTCCGTGCTGAGGTCCAGTCAGCAGCTAGACTTTTCTCAGATTTGGTTAAAGGGCACAGGAAGTGTCTAGTTGCAGGAGTAATGGTTTGCACGGTTAAGGTTGCCGTTTGCTGACAGCAGTAAATGGGATCTCAGGATGCTGATGTCCAAGATGCATTGTGCACAGACTAATGGTTTTAAGAAGCTTGTAATTGGTGGTTGGCATGTTTATAGAACTGTATATCTAAATTACCATGCTACTGGTATGAATTTCTGGCGAGCAGCAGGATATTTCTCAACCTGCACTTTGTGAAGTGTGTGTGTGTGTGTGTGTGAGAGAGAGGATATGGTTTTTAACATGATTAGGCAGCCAAGACCAAAAAGACAGTCAGGCTACTGTCTAAAGCTTCTGGCTGCTTCTCTTGTCTGCTAAAATATTATCCTAATCATCTTATCGATACGGTTTCCTTCATGAATGTTGTAAGATAAGACTCAGATCATGCTATAGGGACTGTTTGCATACCAGTTATTCTTTGCACATGTGCTTAAGTTTCACTGCGCCCTTGTTCAGGCCCCTGTTGAATGGACATTCCCTTTCAGAGCGCCTTACTGACCACTGACAAACATGAGGCATCAAGCCATCACAGTTCTAGAGAGGGGATGTGAGGTCACACTGGATGTTTAGCAGATGTTTGCAGGTGTTGAAACTTGTTGCAGAATATGCAGGCGTTATAATGGGCAGGTGTCCTGGAATACAGATTCCCAAACTTTGGGGAAACATCACAATATTACAGTCAGTATGGTTTAAATGGTTTACATTTTTGTTTGTTGCATTCTGCTAAGTTTAAAATAGTTTTTCTCAAATTACACGTTTTCTGGATTATATTTATTTTAATTTATTTCCAATGCATTTTTGCGGACACTATTCCATATTGCGATTTGATTAAGTATACAGCCCTACTATTGGTTTATTCATCCATATTTTCCCAAATTCCAAAACATTCCACATTGTACAGAAAATTAAGTTTTTGTGACTGGATTCTGTGATTCCGTTCATGTTTTTTGTCAAATCATTAGATAATATTTTAGATAACTTGCGTAGGTGTACTAGAAACATATTTGGCGCAAGTGCGCAAAGAGAGACACCAATGTTTAGCCAGCACATTAGAAGCATACATTAGCAATGTACAAACATACAATGCTGTTTTATAATGTTCTTGTATTATTTTGGCGGGAACAAGGGGGCAGTAGAGTTACTCTCAGTTGTCTGTGGCAGAAAAATCGATGTTTTGTTATTTACTTAGCTAGCAAGTTAGTATAGCTAGTACAACAGGAAAGTCTCTTCAAACATTTTCTCTGACAGTAGTTGATTTGAAAGATAAAGCTGACCATAGAAGAAGAGTTTACGCTCATATCTGCTAATTGTGCCCCCCTTGTGGCAACACTAAGAATGCAACATGATTTTATTGTCTTATATGGTATATTGCTTTGTGAATTAAGTGGACTCAACTGGAACACACTCTCATGGCAATTTAAAACTATTTTACATATTGGCAAATTGGTGGCTGATTTGTATAAACTTGTACGAATTAATGTGTACGTTTTCATATGATCTGCTTATGCCATATAGGTTTCCGTACAAATCACATCGTATAAATTAATACAAAATTGTAAAATATTCATGTTTTGTTTTGAGACCAGGTTGTAAATGGAGCATGAAATTAAGCTAGATTTTAGTAGATAGATTTGTTTTGCTTTCATGTCTTTGTGTAAAGTATATTTAAGTCAACCTGAGTCTACAGCAAAGTTTGTGAGAGAAGCTGCTGCTATCAACGATGCCTGTGTTTGTTTCTTTGTTGTCATATAGTGCTCATCTTTCTTCCCATCATCCTACACTTTTTTGATGTTTTTAAAAGTAGCTATATCAGTTTGTCCCCACCCATTTACATGTGCTATGATTTCATTACTCATTATCAGGAGTGTGTAATGTAGAAGCTCAGCGCTCTTCCAAAAGCCAGACCTCTTTTGAGCGAGCAGCAACACTCTTCGCTTACAAACAAACCCACAATGTCTGTAATACAGACCTGAGTCACAGCTCCATGTTTCATAGACCCTTAAAACAACACTAGTTATTGTATCAGTATTTTTTCTACAGCCTGTGTCTGATGCTAGAGGCCTCTACAGTTAGCATTAGCATGACACTCGTTTGTCAGGTCAGAAAATTACCACCAAAGAGTGACATTTCAAAAGGAAATTTACCCAGCGCGTCTCTGATGCGATGCCATGGTATCTGTGTGTGAAAGTGGCTTGTTAGTTTGAGTGTTGTTCGTGTTGTAGGTTTACTCCCTGATGAAGAGGGGGTTTCTGTGGTTGGCTGTGGCTGTGAACTTCACGCTGTCATCAGGGGGATTTTTTAGACTGGTCAGGAAATGGTCACTGATATTTTATTTTAGATTATTTGTTCATGAGCATAGCTATCACTTGATCAGAAAGAGATTAGGAAAATAAGATCATTGTGGCCTTCCCCTTTCCACAGCAAGACGAGACAAAAATCCCACATTTAGATCATTCACCCATGCATATGGGTTGTTGTGCTGTTGACGTGTTATTCTGTTTTAAAGTTGTTGTTAAAAGGGAAGTGTGTGCTTTCTTAAGTATCTGTATTTATTTGTGTACAGATGCAGATATGTACATGTGGCGATTGAGTGCTTGTATCTGATTTCAGAGTGTGTATGTGAAGAAAACACACACATGTACACAGATGATAATGAAGCGTCTGACATGTATAAACAGTGTTGAAATATTTAGCAAGTGTTGTGTGTTTAATAGAGCAGTCTATGGCATAACTTTGCACTTGTCTCAATGAGCGGCTGACATGTTCACAGCAGAGCTCATCTAATCTAATCCTGTTCATCATAGCAAACACACATACACATGAA